TCCAGAATTTTCTGGCTGACTCTCCGGGCTATTGGACTATGTGGCTGAGGTTATCGGCGTACGGAGGTTAGATATAAGTGCCTTGGAAGTTGTCTCTAAAGGCGTCTTCCAAGTCTTCCCAGTTTCCAATAGAGTTCTCTAGGAGGCTATTTTAACCAGTGCCGAGCTGGTCCCTTGAGCTTTAGGGGGAGGTATTTGATGGCATGTAGATCGTCACCGCGAGCCATGTGAATGTGAAGAAGAAAATCTTCAATCCATACCGCGGGATCTGTTGTACCATCATATGATTCGATGTTCACGGGTTTAAACCCTTCTGGGAACTGGTACTCCATTACCTCATCGGTGAAGCATAGGGGGTCTGCGGCGCCTCTGTATTGGGCCGCGTCGCGACGTAGTTCGGATGAAGTCTGAATGCGGTTTTCGGCCCGGGTGAGGTTGTGCTTGTCGCACCAGGCCTGATGGCCGTCTTCCCGTGCTGGAGCACAGCCCTGTGATCCGTAGATTGATCTGGTCTAACCGGCCCTATTGTCCAGGTCCCGTCGTAGGTCGTAGGTGTATCCCGGAGCCGCTGTTCCCTTGCCATTACGGTGAGGTGGTGTGGGTTGGTGTTTGGCTTGCGTTGCCGCTCTATCCCGGCCACGTGGTGGTCAGTCAGGTTTGTCAGTAGTGCCACGCGTTGGCGGTATGGGCTCCAGGGCCTCATTGTCAAATTGGGGTAGCAGCTTGCGCTTCGGGTAGCTCTTTGTTGGGCGTTTGAGGCCGTATTCCTCGGCTTCCAGGATGTTAGTCCATCTATCATTGAGCAAATCCTGATCAGCCTGAAGCTGCTGCTGCTTCTTTTTCAGGCTTCTTGCAGTGGCGATTAGCCGACGCTTAAAGCGCTCTTGTTCGAGGGGTTCCTCCGGCACAATAAAATCTTCGTTGCCGAGTCTTGTATCCTCTTCGAAGAGCGGTAGGTAGTTACTGTCCTCCGGTTTATGATTATGATTGCCCCTACAGACTAAACCCTCCGGTTTATATGGACACCGGAGGGGGCTAGGGTTGTATAGAGTCGGTTTACAGAGAAAGGAATCTTCATATCCGAACACCAAGCTTGCCGTCCACGCCAAGGAGAGTCCCATCCGGACACCGGGGGAAGCCTTCTATCTTGTATCTTCATGGCCCACTAGTCCGACCCGCGTCACATAGCCCGGACGCCCGGGGACCCCCTAATCCAGGACTCCCTCAAAGGGGGAGGCCGAATCACCCTTTCCTTCTCCCTTCCCCTATTTCCTTCTCCTCTGGTTCGGCCCATATGGGGGTGCACCAGCCAACAACATTCGGTCACCAAATCACATAACTCATATAATACAATATCGTCATCGAACGTTAAGCGTGCGAACCCTACAGGTTCGAGAACTATGTAGACATGACCAAGACACCTCTCCGGTTAATAACCAATAGCGGAACCTAGATGCACATATTGTCTCCTACATGTTCTACGAAGATCTTTATCGATCAAACCGTTATGACAACATACGTTATTCCCTTTGTCCATCGGTATGTTACTTGCCCGAGATTCGATCGTCGGTATCTTCATACCTAGTTCAATCTTGTTATCGGCAAGTCTCTTTACTCGTTCCGTAATACATCACCTCGCGACCAACTCCTTAGTCGTTTGCTTGCAAGCTTATGATGTGTATTATCGAGAGGGCCCAGAGATACCTCTCCAAAACTCGGAGTGACAAATCCTAATTTCGATCTATGCCAACTCAACAAACACCTTCGGAGATACATGTAGAGCATCTTTATAATCACCCAGTTACGTTGTGACGTTTGATAGCACACAAGGTATTTCTCTGTTATCCGGGAGTTGCATAATCTCATAGTCGAAGGAATATGTATTTGAATGAAGAAAGCAACAACAATAAAACTGAATGATCATTATGCTCAGCTAGCGGATGGGTCTTGTCCATCACATCATTCTTCTAATGATGTGATCCCGTTATCAAATGACAACACATGTCTATGGTTAGGAAACCTTAACCATCTTTGATCAACGAGCTAGTCTAGTAGAGGCTTACTAGGGACACGATATTTGTTTTTGTATTCACACATGTATTTAAGTTTTCGATCAATATAATTCTAGCATGAATAATAAACCTTTATCATGAATAAGGAAATATAAAATAACAACTTTATTATTGCCTCTAGGGCATATTTCCTTCATTACTAGCCCTCCTCTCGGTGCTCACATCTCACCGCCGACCACCCAGTGGCAGAACCACATCCTCCCGTCGGCCGGGCTCAACACTCGCCCAATAGGTCATCGGCTCGCCGCTGCCGGTCATCAAGTGTGACCACTGCACGCGGCTGGTGGTGTGCCTCATTTCGCCGAAACATCCCATAAGGTTGTTCTACAAGTGCGAGAAGGAGGGAGTGGGTGCCATTTTGTACGGTTGTTCTTCGGATTCGTCGCAATTTAAAATTTGCTCAAAATTGTATGTAGGAAGGATGCACGTTTTGACATTGGGGAGAAGAGTACATTGAACTATTGTCAACGAGAAATTTGCTAAATGTTCATGCGCTAGTTGCTAGAGATGGGACTAGAGAGGACGCAATGTCGAGGTTGAGCCTAGAGAGGACGCAATGTCCAACTTCGAGGAGGCGGAGAAGACAGAAGTGTGCAAGCTCAAGAAGCCGATAGAGAAAAGGAACAATGTAGGCAATGAAGAGAAAGCGAAAGCTTTGATCGCACTAATAGGAGCAGATAGGAAAGTGGTGTTTCTATTGAAGTATGTTATTTTTCTTGTACTTTTCTTTGTATCGGTTCTCTTAGCAAAGAACTGATGAAATATGTCAAGATGTTGTTTAATACTCTCGCCTATACTGATACTCCCACCTCTAAATTTAAGCAAGTTTGGGCAGCTAAGCTGCCTCCAAGATCAAGATCTTTCTTTAGCGGGCCTTTAGGGGCCTTTTGCCTTCGACGGACCAAATCCGCAAGCGAAATGACCCTGGTTCTAATCGTTGCGCCTTGTGCTCTCAGTTGGAAGATGCCAACCACATTT